CACCTCCCCACCCCCCCACCCCACCCCCACCCAAAAAAGAAGGAAAAAGAAAAAACAAAATTAAATGAAATTCTATATAATTCTAAATTTGCCCCATAAATTGTTTTGTTCCCTCAAATATACCACAATCTTAACTTCTGTTCAAAATTTAACACTTTTTAGGGCCAAATTACCTATGTATCCCTAGTTTAATTAACTTTTGAAAAATATTAGCACAATATTTAAGTTCGTCATAATTCACGTTAATCAAAAAATTCAGGTCATGCGCTAGTGCAAAAACACAGAAACCCAACTCCGACTTCAACATGTTCGTGCCCCTTACCCTTTTCTCACCATTCCACTCAACATTCTCAAGGAACCCACACCCAAAGACTTCTCAAAATTCCGAGCAGAGGCCAATAATGATTGGAAGTTGTTGGCCTTCTTGTTTTGATGATGATTTACAAACAATTTACTACTAATGTTGTTTGTCTAGTGCTTGTATTATCTATTCATTGTAGACAAACAACGTAGTTGGAGGATGGATGGAATAGAGCTTCAACGATCATATCCAATGGAGGTTGGCGGAATAACGGTGAAGCCTTGCTATTCAAAGTTCAAGATCCAAGTAAAAGCTTCATCCGCAAGATTACCAAGATAGAGCTTCGTTGAAGATCAAGATTGCTTGGGTAATTTAGTTTAGGAATTTATATTATGTGTGTTAGTACTTTAAGCTCAATCATATACGCACATACACGTTTTGGATTTTGTATATATATAGTTATATATATACATATATGTTTTGGTTTGATAGTTTTCAAGTTTTACTATGAAACAAATGAATAGAATTGAAAAATACTATTTTGTTTCATGTTTATATGCCTATATATGATTTTCCCTTTAACAAGCTTATATTTAATGAAATCATATTTAGTGTTTTGAATATATTGCATAGAATATGCAAATTTATGAAAATATTGTATTTCTAGATTATAGACTTCATAACAACATGTTATATCTTTTATCAAGTCTATACAATCATTTCATAAGGTTTCAAAATGTTGTTTAAGTCAAAATATCAAAATATCAATTTTCAGGTTTTCATGTTTTTGGACTATTTTGTAAAATGATGATATTTTTCATTTGGGAAGTCCTTTTTCGAAACCAGTCGTTGTAGCATGTTTATTATCATGTCTACAATCATTCCCCAAAGTTTTACATTTTTTGGAATTTATTTGATATTTTTAAACAGCATTTCAAAATCAGATAAACAGTTTTCATATCAGTTTTCGGTCGACCGCACCGGTCGACCGGTAAATTGTTCATTTGCTCAGTAACCGACAGAGAGTTCGTCGGTCGACCGGTCCGGTCGACCGAGAGCTCAAATCGGTCGACCGACAGAATTTCCGGTCGACCGACGTTAGTCCAGAAAGTTTTCTTCGTGTTTTTGCTCTCATCGGTCGACCGACGGAATTTTCGATCGACCGACAATATAGCCGTTGGCTACTAACGGCTATTTCTGAGCTGTTTCTCTGGGGGCTGTTTTGTCATTTGTTTTGGGGGTTTTTGCTGAGATTTCTAGTGGGTATATATACCCCATTGCTGATATCTTTTCAAACTGATTAAGAGAGTTTTAAAAACAAGTTTAAGAAAGTTTTAAACAAGGGTTTGAGTTTGTTTAGTTTGTTTTTGGGGTTTGCTGTTACAAAGAGGAGTTTGCATCACCAGTTGAGGATTTCATCCTCAAAATCTTCTCATCCTCTCTTTGTGTTTATAGAGAAGTTTTCTAACTCTTTTCCCTAGCAATTTCATTATTGATTTATCATATATTAATTATTGCTAGTTTGCTATTTGAGTTAGATTTCATTTTACTCATTGTTACACACACCCACATTGAGCTTTTAGTATTTACATACATAGTATAGTTGGGTGGTGAGAGATTGTAACTTTGAGTTGTGCTTTCATTGTGTTCTCATCTATTGTAGAGAACAAATTTATATTTGTTACATTGTGAGTGTTGTAAGGTTTTCGGTGAGCTAGAAACCGAGTGTGTAGTGAGGTTTTCGGTGAGCTAGAAACCGAGTGTGAGGAGTGACGTTGATCGGTGAGCGTTGAAAACCGATACTGTGAGGTGTAAACGTTATTCGGGTGAACGTAGAAAACCCGGTTGATAGTGGATTTCTCCCCGGGAGTGGGGAGCGGAGACGTAGGACGGAAGGTCCGAACTCCGTGATCATATCTTGTGTTTGAGTGTGCTTTGGCGTTTATTTATACTTGTGTTTATAATTCTTGTTGCCATTGTCATTAGCTCATCATTTATATGATCCACTATCTAGTTCATATTGTTTACCCTTGTGTTAGTTTATATATCCTTACATATATATATATTTCATCATATAGGATATATCTCATTGTTTACATTGCTTATCCTAGCTCATATATCTTGTGGTATTTCATACTTGCTAAATTAGTTTTAATTGGCATTTGATCGGATTAGATTAGCATAAGACCCTAATCACCCCCCCTCTAGGGTCTAACAATTGGTATCAGAGCTTGGTGCTCTTTGATTTAAGGTCTAACCACCTTGAGTTAAAGATCCAAGTTATCTTATTTGTGCTAATCTAGTTATGATTACTTTTGTCTTGCTTGCATATTTTCATATATATATCATGAATATAAATGTATTTCGTTTAGGCTATGAATCAAATGTTGCTCCTAAATTCATTAATTTCCTCTATGCACAATGGGCTTCTAGATTTAAACTATTTGTTGAATCTAGAAATATCGACTTATGGGAAGTTATTGATTATGCTTATATTGTGCCCACATTGGAGAAATTTAAGTGGAGCGATCATGATAATAAAATGTTTACAATGAACAAGCGTTTGTTAGAATTTTTGCTTAATGCTTTTGACTCATCCTTTTCTAACATATTTGTTCATTTTGATAGTGCTTACAAACTTTGGAAATTTATTGAAGCACATCAAGGGGACTTGGAGGCAATCCGACAAGCTTTGGAGGATTCTTCTTCAAGTTCATGTGGAGCATCATGCACACGGCCACAAGAGGATAACTCTTGTGTAGTAAGCGATTCCGATTTCGATAATGATTTATCTATTGATGAACTCGCTTGTGCATATGATAGATTATCTCATGCCTATACTAAATTGCAAAATAATTTTATTGATCTTAAAAGCAAGCATGTTGGTTTAAAATCCAATCATGATAAGCTAGTTTCCAATTTTGATATTATTTCTCAAGAAAATGTTGCTCTTAAAGAAATTAATGATATGTTAAAATTGGAAAATGAAAAATTGACTTCATCTATATCTAGCTTAACTCATGCTAATAATGATGCCATGATAGAAGTAGAAACTATTAGAAATGAGTTTAATTCTTTTAGAAATGATAATGTTTCATCTACTTCTATTTCCTATACATGTATGCAAAATGTTGAGTTGAGTCAAGTTAAACATCGCGTATCTTGTTTAGATTCAACCTTAAAAACATGTATGGTAAACCATGATAAGCTTATGAACATGTGTGCTAAGTCTCATGCTACTACACCTAAACATATCACACATCATGCACACATGTATAGCAAAATTTATAAGTGCTCTATTTGTGGTCGTAAAGGCCATTTATCTAAATTTTGCTATGATGCAAAAAAATCTAAAAATAGTAATATCAATGCTTCTTGTGCATCTCATAAGGCTTCTTCATCACACACACATGTACATGCACACACTCATAAAGTTGATTTTTGTGGTAGAGTTGGTCACTTAGCCAAGTTTTGTTTTGATTTGCGAAAAGTTTCTAAATCGCAAAATATTTCAAGTAGACCAACATTATTTCAAAATGTTTCTCATTTGCAAAATAATCTTAAAAGACCATCTTTATTTGCAAATGTTCCTCGTGCACATCCACATGGTCAACATAACCAAATGCATCCTCTTCATTGCACTTATTGCAATCGAATGGGTCATTTGCATAATTATTGCTATGACCGGACCCGTGCACTAAATGCGCCCAAATGGGTTCATAACCCTAGGGCTTTGAGCTTGAATGATAGGGGTCATGTCCCTAAATCGTTTGGTACCAAGAGTTCTTGGGTACCAAAAGAAATTTGATTTTAAACAAAGAATTTTAGTATTTTTATTTTTCTTTGTCTTGGTTTTGAAAATTATGTTTTAAGATCTTTTGGTTATGAAAACAAATTTTCTTTTATCAAATCTTTTGTTTTCATGATTATTAGTTTTGATTTTGATGAGAGGTGTGTATTTATATAACCCTCCGGGTTTATTGGGTGTTTATTCCCAAATCATGTTTACCGGATGCTAGAAAGATTATATGGGTTAGAACAAGCTTAAGAGCTTGATATATTATTGCCTCTCTTGAAATTCTTTTGCTAAAGATTTTGTTTTGATTTGTTGCTTTTTATTTTTTCTCTTTCTTGGTTTTGAAAAATGCGTTTTAAACTTTTATGAAAACAATTCCTTTTATTGGCTAAATTCTTTTGTTTTTATGATCATTGGTTTTGCTTTAATGAGAGGTTTGCATTTATATAACCCTCCGGGTTTATTGGGTGTTTATTCCCAAATCATGTTTACCGGATGCTAGAATGATTATATGGGTTGGAACAAGCTTAAGAGCTTGATATATTATTGCCTCTCTTAAAATTCTTTTGTTAAAGGTCTTGTTTTTGATTTGTTGCTTTGAATTCATTATATTTCACTTATATGATGATATTTATGTGTTTGTGCTTATGGATCATCTATTCGTGCCTTATAATGTATTCTATATGTGGTTTGATTAAATTTTTCAAAGAAAAATTCTTTCATTAATCAAACATCGACTTTTTGGATATAAACTTTGATTTATGATTTCTTTTGATGGATTTGTTTTCATTTGAAAACTTTTTTGCATGTTTCTCATGTTCCTCTTCTTTTGATTTCATAAATCTATTCTTTTATATGGTTTCTATATTTTTTGTGCTAATGAGACACTTCTTTCACATTGATATATTCATATGTGTTCTCATTGTCTTTAAGTATGTGAGTTGTGTTTAGCATATTTTCCATCTATGCTTGCTCACATATGTTTGCCATGATCTTCATTTCATATATTCTTTATGTCATTTTGATAGGGGGAGCAATCCCTATACTTGCTTCATACTCACCCATGCTTATTTGTAGGGGGAGCTTTCGCTCTCTTAATTCTTTTGTCCCCTTTTTGATGTTGTCAAAGGGGGAGAAATATTGTGAGTATATTCTTTCTTGTTTATATGCATGATATATTATACATTGTATGTTCATTTCCTTTCATGCATATATCCTTTTTGTAAATTGTTTGTCATCATCAAAAAGGGGGAGATTGTTGGCCTTCTTGTTTTGATGATGTTTAACAAACAATTTACCACTAATGTTGTTTGTCTAGTATTTGTGTTTTCGTATTTATTGTAGACAAACAACGTAGTTGGAGGTTGGATGGATTGCGCTTCAACGATGATATCCAAAGGAGGTTGGCGGAATGTCGGATTGAAGCCTATACAACAATTCAAGTTAAAGATCAAGTTCAAGCTTCATCCGCAACGTTTACCAAGTCAAGCTTAATTGAAGATCAAGATTGCTTGGGTAATGTAGTTTAGGATTTATATTATGTGTGTTAAGTACTCTAAGCTCAATTATCTATACACACACATTTTATTAGTTTCCTTGTATATATATGTAATCACATATATATACAACACAAGTTTTGGTTTTCATGTTTATAAATATGAAATTACATGTTTCATATTTATTATTGTGATTTGGTTTATCTACATAGATATGAAACAAATATATTTTCATATACATACTCATAGGTTTCATTTTCTATTGTATTTGTGAAAATATTGTATTCTTAGTTTATAGACTTCAATATCAGTTTATACATGTTTTACTAAGTCTATAAAAACATTTCACAAAGTTTCAAAAGTTGGTTTATGTCAAAACATTAAAATTCAAGTATCTCGTATTTTCATGTTTTGGACTATTTTGTAAAATGATGATATTTTTCATTTGGGAAGTCCTTTTTCGAAACCAGTCATTGTAGCATGTTTATTATCATGTCTACAATCATTCCCCAAAGTTTTACATTTTTTGGAATTTATTTGATATTTTTAAACAGCATTTTAAAATCAGGTTTTTTGAGTGTCAGTTTTCGGTCGACCGGATCGGTCGACCGAACCTGAGGTCAAAAGTTTCCTGGCCGACAGAAGCCTGTCGGTCGACCGGTCCGGTCGACCGATGAAAATTTTCGGTCGACCGACGAATTTTTCGGTCGACCGACGAGTGTTCCTTCAGTTTGCAACGGCTAGTTTTTTGACCGTTGCCTTGGGGCTGTTTTGTCTTTTGCTCTGGTTTGTTGGCTGAGTTGTGAGAGGGTATAAATACCCCATTGTCTTCAACTCTCAAACCAATTAAGAAATGTTTTAAAAGAAAAGAAAAGTTTAAGCAAGGGTTTAGGGTTTTACTGTTTGTTTTGAGTTTGGGTTTCTGTTTACAAAGGAGGAAGTTTTCACTGCAGATTGAGGGATTCATTCTCAATCCCCTTCATCCTCTTCTTGTGTTCTTAGAGAAGTTTTCTAACTCTTTTCTCTAGCAATTTCATTATTGATTTTCATATTCTTATTATTGCTAGTTTGTTAATTGAGTTAGATTTTATTGAATCTCATTGTTACACACACCCACTTGAGCTTTTAGTATTTACATACATAGTATAGTTGGGTGGTGAGAGATTGTAACCTTGAGTTGTGCTTTCATTGTGTTCTCATCTATTGTAGAGAACAAATTTATATTTGTTACATTGTGAGTGTTGTGAGGTTTTCGGTGAGCTAGAAACCGAGTGTGTTGTGAGGTTTTCGGTGAGCTAGAAACCGAGTGTGGGGTGAAAGTTTTCGGTGAACTAGGAAACCGATTGTGAGGAGTGACGTTGTTCGGTGAGCGTTGAAAACCGACACTGTGTGGTTGTAAACGTTATTCGGGTGAGCGTAGAAAACCCGGTCGTGATAGTGGATTTCTCCCCGGGAGTGGGGAGCGGAGACGTAGGACGGAAGGTCCGAACTCCGTGATCATATCGTGTGTTTGAGTTTGTCATTGGCGTTCTTTTACATTCATGCCTATTGTTTATATCGCCTTTGTCATTTGCTCTTAGTTCATATTATCCACTATCTTGCTTATCTTGTTTATGTTTATATCACCCTTAGTTTCATATCCTTGCATATAACTCATAATATATTTCATCATATAGGATATATCACTTTGTGTATATTGCTTATTCTTGCTTATAACTATTGTATATCTATCTTGCAAGAATATAACTTGTTAATTAGTTTTTAATTGGCATTTAATCGGATTAGATTAGCATAAGACCCTAATCACCCCCCCTCTAGGGTCTAACAGAAGTGTGTGTTGGCATAGGGTTACTCCTAATCAAAAAACGTGGATGTACACGGTCGTCAACTTGTGGTCTCAGCTGAGCACGTCGCTGCCCAAGGCCTAATGGTACTTCGACAAAGTGATCATTCACACACTAGAAGGTGAAAGGACTGGAGAGGTCGTGTCGAATGAAATATGCAAGAACGCCGTGTGGAGGAATTGGGAAAACCATAAATGCAAAAGCAAGAGAAGCAGAATGCTAGTTCGCAATCTAATTCTCTTTACGGATTGAATTTTGTTTATATTGGATCAGTTTTAGACTTATAGTGAATTAATTTTATGTTGCTACCTTTTAAAAAATAATTAAAATAGGGTTATAAAGATTGGCTGTAAAAAGAATTAAAATTTTAAGAGAAGATAGGGGGTATATTTGAGATAACAAAACAATTTCAGAGGCAATTTTAGAATTATAATGATTTGGGAAGGAAAATTTAAATTACCTATAATTTTGGGGTACATATTGGAAACCCCCATAAAATAAAAGGCTAAATTACTCAAAACCCCGAAACTTACTAGGGTTTTGGCATAGAAAACCTCCATAAACCTTCAAAATTACACAAAAACCACCACAATGATAGATGTGATTTATGTGACAAGGAAATAATTTCCACATTGCAAACACATCTCTCTGCAACAGTAATTTGAAGAGCTGGATTAACATTCATTTTATCATCAAATCAAGCTTTCCAAAGGACATCTAAATTTAGATTGAACTTGAAGACTCTTTGGATGTGAAGTATTTACACGTTCAGGCATTAAGGACCATGCCTTCTCCTATATATGCGATAATCAAGCATTCTTCAATATTTAAGACACGCAAATATTTGTCAATAGATAATCAAGCAAGAACCATGGCTTCTACTAAATATGGAGAATGTGGTCAATTTAATTAACTAGTATATGGACAAGATGAACAAGCCAGGAAAGGATAAATAAACCTTTTAACAGTAGGATTGTAAGGCATACATTGTGGTTGAACAGTTACAACAGCCTTCTCGCCTCTTTTCATAGTCTTCACGGCCTTTGTAAATGCTGGTAAAAGATGACCTGCGTGATGTGTAGTGATTATGCAAATGAGCTTGATGACAGGGAAACTTTAGGCAAACTTATGAATTCTTTTTTCTTCATCGCTAGAATTCCTACTTGTACAAATGCACGTTCAAGAGATTTGAATTTTCATAAATTATATATAAAAACAATAGACAGGTACAACACGTATATATCAATTATGGAGAAATTATTTTTTTAAGTTGTGACTTGATCAATTTATCACATCCTCTAAATATTTTGAATTAAATATTTTAATTAGCAGAGATATTTCACTAGCCCAGTCAGCATTGTAAGGAAGTTGAAATGTTGAGATCTTACATGCACTTCATCTCTTCGAATTTAACTGACAAAGGAAAGAAAGGTCATCGATTTTTTTAACTGAAATGACCATAACCCCTACACTTGGGATACAGAATGTTCATTCCTTCAAACTTTGCACTACTTCCACTTTGTCCTCTATAATTATATATTTGAGTAGATATTCCAATCAAATTAAAATGTCTGATTGATAAATCTAAGGTTTGTCACAGAGAATACAATACCTTCATTGATATGAAACCACAATCCTTCTTCTGGACTCTCCACAAGTAGTGATCCATCGACTAACCTGACTTGATACTTGACTGAAATAGAAAATATAAACAAGCAAGGAAAACCATAAAACCATGACAAATGCTAAACAAAATTAGACAAAAAAAACCCTTGAAATAAAGGACAAAAGCACATTTTAGTAAAGCTAGGCCAACCTTGAACTTCATCGAGATCGCCAGTTTGTACATCATCCCCTCCAACAAGAATTTTCTTAACAATCCCACCATCCTTCGACACATCCACAACCGTCAGCCATGACACCAATTCCACCTCAAATTGAACTTCGGAACCCGGAGGAATGCTCCACCGGACACCAAGATCCCCATGTCCAGGCTTCAACAACAATGTGAACAATGCCAACTCTCCCTTCTTCATAGTCGAAATACCATCATCCAACCCAGTAAATAACTCCCCTAGTTCATTCAGGATAAAATTTATTGCCTTAAGAGTATATCCATAGCTGCAATCTTATCCCAGTTTAGAAAAGAGTAAATTTTGGAAAGACCTCTCAGAATATTAGAATCAGAAATCCCTCCGAATACTATTAGTTGATCAACAAATGAACTAAATTTTCATGATTAAATCACATTGACTACCTTCCTTAGTTAATAATGCATTTAATTTTTCTTTTGCCGAAAATACCCACAACTTCCTCATCCTCTTTATCATATTTACCTACATTTAGAGATTTTAGTATATGGAAAATTTTGGAGAATCTCTTTTAAGGAAATAACTAAAATAAAAATTAAAAAAAGAAAAGCATGTATTTCTTAGTTATTTGAAAACCTCCTTCTAATACTGAATTAAAAAAAATTTAAATTAAAAACAAAAGAAAACGAAAAAAAGAAAACCTCCTTCTACTGACATTGTTAACAAAATTCTCTAAACTAATAAATATTCCTCTAAGGGGCTGTTTGGTTCGTTTCCTTGATATAGAGAAATGCAATTCCATGTAAAGAAATACAAGTTTTGAGTTTTACAAACTTTTCCAAGAAATAGATTGTTTTGCTTTGTTTCGCACATAAAAAATGGTGAGAAACCAATGTATTTATTTTTCTTGTGTTTGGTTCGCATAGAAAAAAAAAGAAAACTTTTGTAAACAAAGCAGAGAAGGAAAAAAAGCTGACGTGGCAGAGTTTTCATCAATTTCACTCGGTTGAGGAAGGAAATCGGAGAGGGAAAAAAATCTGAGGTGGCGGCGATTTCAGCAGAGTTTTCCCTCTTCCATCCGAACGAACCAAAGCGGCACAAAGAAATGGACGGAAACAAAAAAGTTGACGTAGAGGACTAAAAATCTGACGTGGAGAGGTTTTCTAAGTTTTCCACCCCTTATAATAGCGAACCAAACAGCCCCTAATAGTAAGGAATGTTCTTTAAAAAAATATTTTTTTAACCCAATATTGCATTTTCACATGAAAAGAGATACAAAGCCCGATGATTCATATATGATGATTGTTTTAAATTCTACTATGAGATTAAAATTGGAAAGATTTGATTATAAAAAAAATTCATTGTTAGCTTTTTTTTATTTTCACTTTTTTCATTTTTCATTTTCTAATTAAGAGATGTTCAAATTGAAACTTAAACAGGACGGGCAGTGAGATAAGATTATAATTCTAACTTTAGGTGAATCAATAAAATTTTGAAGAATAATTGTAAATCATAAAAAGGAATTTAAAAAAGCAAACCTTTCCATTACTTACTGTGACCAAGCTTGATAGTTTGAGGCTCCGCCTCCTCTCTCGTCGAGACGAACTGCGTCCCATCTTTCATCAAACCCACATAATGAACTGCGCAACAAGACATCAATCATCAAATTTCAAGAAACTAATCGAAACTCATTTCAAGAAATTAGTAACGAACTCGTGACTTCATCGCCAAGGAAAGGGGTCTCCCATCCTCGGCCGCCCTTGAGAAGCTTCTTCCTGAGTCCAACGCCGGCCGCGGCGGATGGCCCTCTCTTCGCCAACGCTGAGGGGTGGGGCTGACTCGATGACCTCGCCGGGCTCCTCGTCGAGTCGTCGGGCTTTGGCCGCCATCGCCGAGGAGAAGGCCAGCCGAGAAGGAGCAGGTCGCGTCATTTTTCTTTGCGAGGAATTGAATGATCGACAGAAGAGATCGCTGCAGTGAAGAGTAGTAAAGAAGAACAAATTTTCAAATTAAACTCATTTAATGTTTTTATTAACAAATTCTGTCCACTCCCATTTTATTCGTAGCCACTATATGTTTCGGTTTTTTTAATGACGTCTCTGAGTAGTTAGAGTTGTCAACCCGACTATTTAGCTATTCAGGTTTGGCACCCCGACTATTTAGCTATCTACAAGCTAAAATAGTCGGGGTTTTCAAACTCGACTAATTTAGGGCTATGTCTAATATGCCGGGTTGGTAACCCCGATTATTTCGAAAATCATACTTCGAAATGGACGGGGTTGCCAACCATGACCATTTAGCAGAGACTATCCACCCAACCCAGCCGACGAGTCGAAATTGGCTAAGGAAAATAGTCGAGGTTCCCAAACCCGACTATTTTATTCTGGGTCCCGCCGCCTATATAAACCCCCAGGTCGTTCCCAGCCCTTATTCCACGATCTCAATCGCCTCTCAGCGAGTTCCCAGTCGCCTCTCTTCGTCGTTGTCATCTCCCAAGCCAAAACTCGCGCATTTCAACGCCATTTTTTGTGCGGAATTCATCGTGAAAGATCTAACATGTACTTTCTCTTCCTTCGCTCCTCTTTTAACACGTAGAAATCTAGGGTTTTCTCTCCAAAACGAATTTATAGTGTTTGAACTCTATTTGTAGTGGTTTATTTAGAAAATTTATTCTTGTTATAGTTGAAATTAAACATTTGAGGCATAGAATACTCAATTTTAGGGTTTAGGATTTGTGGGTCAATTTTAGGGTTTAGGATTTGGGGGGTTTACGGTTGTAATTTGGTTTTAGGGTTATAATTGGGGTGTAGGGTTGTAATTGATAATATTATTTAAATTTTTTTGCATTTAAATGATATAATTTTGTTTTGCATAGGTTGAATAATATGATTTTTATTGCTTGCTCTTATGGTGTAACGATTAATTATGGAATGAATAATATGCCAATGTACGTCGGAGGAGTGACAATCTCGTTAATGATATCGGAATCATATAGTTACATTGACTTAGTTAATGAATTGCATCGAGTTACGACAATTGACCCACGAGAGTATCGACTAAAAATAATATGCAATTGGCCGATAACTTATGATAGAACGTCCGCAATTGAGATCTCAAACGATCATTCGATAAGTATTTTGTTTAATTTGAGCAAGTCACAACCAACGGTAGAATTGTTTATTGAAATGATGCCACATAGGACGGACCAAATATTCAACCCTCCAGGAGAATTCCCACGCATGTCAGATTTGGGAGTTGAGTCTGAAGGCTTTCTTTCTTCTTCGAGTGAAATGCAGCGGACTCAATTTCAATATCACAGTGGTACACCTTCATATGAAGAGGATGAAAGAAACGACGCATCTGATGGTAAAGATGAAGATAGTGCACCAATTGACAGCATGCAATTTGTGGGTGAAGATGATGAAGAGAATCCGGATTGGCCAGATGAAGCTTATGTTAATAATGAATATGTTGAGTACGAAGAATCACCCCCCGACGAGTTTAAGGATGATGAGTGGGTTCGTTCTTCCACAGTACATGATATGCGCATTGGCGAAAGTTCATCCAATAGAGGACATGATGAGGAGGTCCCTTTCAGAGTTGGTGAATTATTTGAGACTAAAGACCAATTAGTTAATGCTATTCGTGATTACTCAATCAAAAAGTTGGTCAAATTCAAGCAAATTAAAAAGCAATCGCACAAGTTATGAGGCAATCTGTTTTATGAATACACAAAGGCAAGGTCGGGCAGAGGGGAATGAGTCTGATTACGCATGTCCTTGGAAGTTATATGCATTTTGCTGAAAAGAAACATAATGAGTATTTTAGGATCACAAAATATTACGGTGTTCACACATGTAACAATCCAATGTTCGAGAGAGACCACAGTGGTGCCTCCGCCTCTTACATAGCTCAGTTGATTATGTCAAAAGTAAAGAAGAAGCTTGAACTAAAACCTGATGACATAATTGATAGAGTGTCACATGATAAGTGGATTGAAATATCGTATAGCAAAACGTGGAATGCAAGGAGAATTGCGATGATAAAAATATTTGGTGATTGGGAGAAGTCTTACACGACACTGCCTCAATATCTTAATGCAATCAAAAGAAGCAATCCTGGATCTGAATACAAACCCATAACCAAAGAGATCAATCTGGGGGTTCATAAATTCTCCTCTGTATTTTGGGTATTTGGTCCTTCGATCGAGGGATTTAAATTTTGTCGGCTGATCCTTAGCATTGATGGGACACACTTATACGGTAAATATAAGGGTGTATTGCTTGTCGCTACAGGAATAGATGCAGATGAGGGCTTATTTCCTTTGGCCTTCGCAGTTGTAGAGGTCGAGAATAGTGAAAATTGGGAGGGCTTATTTCCTTTGGCCTTCGCAGTTGTAGAGGTCGAGAATAGTGAAAATTGGGAGTGGTTTTTTTCTTGCATCCAATTATATATTTTTAATGTTGTAGAGGTCGAGAATAGTGAAAATTGGGAGTGGTTTTTTTCTTGCATCCAATTATATATTTTTAATATGTTGCCTCCTAGGATAATTACATTTATATCCGATAGGATGAAAGGTATTCCAAGAGCCTTGTACAGTAGATTTGGCTCTCATCACAATCACCGCTATTGCTTACGGCACACTAGAGCTAATTTAAAAAAGGGCTTTGGTCAAGTACAATAGATGGCGGGAATCGCTATTGCATGATGACAACTAATTGTTCTGAAAGCTTCAACGGTGTACTTAAGGGGGCTCGAGCAATGCCCATACAGGCGTTGGTTGCAAGGACATTTTATAGACTAAATCGGTATTTTTGTCAAGCGGTAAGAGGATGGAGCAAAGTGGGGGACATTGTTCACCCTAAAAATGAAGAGATTATAGAGCTCGTGTCAAGCAGACCAGAATTACAAAAATTGCCATGTTAACATGTTATAGCAGTTACGACCAAGCAATTTGGGGGTACAAATATATCGTATTACACATACGCTTCTGAGTGGTATCAATCAAGCCACTATAGAGATTCATACAGTCAGTTTTTTAATCCTATAGTAGATAGTCGTTACCGGCCACCCTATAACGGGCCGCATGTGTTACCTCCTGAATTTAAGAGACAAGTCGGACGCCCGAGATCAACATGCATAAAATCTACGATGGATGGAGGTCAGGAAGGAGTTCTAACAAAAAATAGGTGTGGATATTGTAGACAACCGGGCCACAGAAGATCTTATTGTCCCACCAATCCAAATAGATAGCAATTAATGGGTACAGTTAATTTAATTTTTATTAATTATTCTACTTCATTTATATTCAAAATTTGAACTTTTATTTTACTTCATTATTAATTTAATTTTTATTAATTATTCTACTTCATTTATATTCAAAATTTGAACTTTTATTTTACTTCATTATATTCTACTTCATTTATATCATCACTACTTCATTTATATTCAAAATTTGAACTTTTATTTTACTTCATTATATTCTACTTCATTTATATCATCAAATGTGCAGATATGGAGGCGAGACCATTGACGTATGAGGTCCTTTATGACCAACCTCGACATCGATCCACGAATATTGACACTAGGGAGGTAATTAGATTGATAGTTATAAATTACATTTTTGGTCATATCAATTATTCTAAGTTATTGATTGTTACTGAACATTTGCACTGTTTATTATATGCAGGCCCTAAGCATTACTATCGTTGATCATACTCGTGCACATTCGAGCTGGGAGTTGACCGATCCACACATCCAATATTATGTCCGTCAAGCATGCTTCTTTGCGTGCTCACAAATTAAATGGGCGAGACTTGATTGGGCTCTCTTGACGGCACTGGTTGAACGATGGAGGCCCGAGACAAACAAATTCCACATGCGCCAAGGAGAGTCGACGATTACATTACAGGATGTTGGGGTTTTGCTTGGACTCAGAGTGGATGTAGATGTTGTCACAGGTAGCAACGACTTCAACTAGTCAGGGAAGTGTGAAGCATTGCTGGGTCAAGTTCCTCACATGAGGGGTGGAAGGATCAAGCTTGAATGGGTCAGGGAAGTGTGAAGCATTGCTGGGTCAAGTTCCTCACATGAGGGGTGGAAGGATCAAGCTTGAATGGTTGAGAAACAATTACATGAATGTTCCGATCGATGCGACCGAGGAGATCGTCAAGATGTATGCCCGTGCATACATACTTCACATGATCGGTACTATTCTTTTCCCAAATTCCATGAAGGATTCGATGCACGTGAGGTGGTTGCCACTCCTGGAGGATCTTGTGGATTATGGTGGATTGTCATAGGGGAGTGTCGTGTTAGCATATCTGTATAGGGAGATGACCAAAGTGGCTCTTGTTCAAAATAAAGAATTCAAGGGTTGTCTCACTCTGCTACAAATATGGTCTTAGGAAAGATTGCATTTGGGTTGCTCAAATTTGAGGGAGCCACGTGCTCTTGATGGCCATATTCCGTTAGGTTACAGGTATTACTAAGTTATTTTAAAAAAATATCATTACATGTAATTTTATACATTTATTTCAAACTATACTAACTCATTGTATATAAAATAGATGGAATGTATCCAGAACTTGGCATACCTCACCAAAGGGCCATGAAAACTTCTATAGGAATGAGCTCGATCAAATGGAGGACGAACAGGTATTAAATCATAATATCTAAAAATTTTCAATCATTACATTATTTATTACTGAAATCTGCTTTGTTTTATCTTTTTATAGGTCAAGTGGATGCCATATGAACTAGTTTTAGAGTCACTACCAGATATATGCAGAGAAGAGCCAGATGTATGGCGTGCTCGCATTCCGATCATATGTTTTGAGATTGTCGAGATGCACATGCCCGACCGTGTA